TGTACCTGCACATGTGATGTGACAATAAAAGTGATTTGATTTGATTTGATTAACAGTCACTAAACCTTTTCCCTGTGGTTTATTAATGTCACTCCTCTTTCTCCTGGTAAACCAGGATTGTAACAGGCACCCTTCCACCGAGCATCAGTGGTGGGGTACGGATCTACTCATATTCCAAAGTGAGATTCCTTAACTCATCATTCATGCTTCACCTGTTTTAATTAATTAATAATTATGCAATGGTATTTTTTTTAATGCTCCGTGGCCAGACACTCCACAGTGCACGTAAGACAAAACTTACAGAAAGTTCAAGGAAACAAAATTTAAAAAATAAATGAATAAATAAGAAAGCAGTGACATGTGATGTGCACCTTCTCGGCCTCCTGTTGAGCCACTTCTCTCTCCTCCTGGATCTTCTTCTGTTTGTCTATGGAGACGTCCGGGTTTCCCTGAGCGTGTGCCTCTCGCTCTCTGGCTACCTGCTCTTTACGGCTCACTTTATGGTATGCTCTTCTTGCTTTATCCAGCTGTGGATGCAAACCAAAGCACAGACTGACTATGTGGAGTCAATGCACAATAGATAGGGATAGAAATACACCGATTACACTAACACCAGGAATCATACAATTCACTTACAGGCACTTTAGAGGCACTTAAGCTAAGATGCACCTGACTCTGAAAAGCACATTACTGAATAAATTCATTTTGAAATAGCAGCGCATTAGCTTCCTGTTTTCTAAATATAGTATTTGAATTGAGGCCATTTACTCAATGAGAAACCATCTGCGATGCCACAGTCACTTCTAGTACATATGAAAAATTGATCCCCCTAAGGGCTCGTCTTTTGAGGCAAAATTATATTTTTGATGCATGTCCCTTGCTGCTCTTATTTCACAGCAAGGTACAGATTCAAGTGGCTCATTGCATCAGAACACAAACACTCTTGAGAACTGGGTTTCTGGCAGTGGCACAAAATAAGGCTTGGGAATGTCACAGAGAAAAGGCTCCCAGAAGCGAACATTAAAATGTCATGATGACCAGAGCTGTCCGGAGTGGAGCTGTGAAGCCATGGACTGTATATAAAAGATGTATTGATGCCCTCTAGTGGTTACAGAGACTTTACATGGACTCCACTAGCACTAAGTTAGACTCCAGAGTAAACCTCCAGAGAAGCTAAGCAAAATGAAGTTAAGCACAAAGTAGCAAAAACTGTAGTTCCTCTGGTGACCACTTGAGGCTGGCTTCACGAGAGTGAGTGAATCTCCACAGACATGTTAAAATGTTCAACTAATA